TTCATTATTGGTGTCATTTGTGCGATACTTAGCAAAGAGCAGGGATTGACTGTATTAGCCGTTTGTGTCACTTATGAAGTGTCCAAATGTTTCGGTCGCTCGCGAAATATCAAGAAGTCTTCGCTCTTATGTCTTCTATTGATTATATTTGGCTCAATATTAGTGATACTAAGGCTCAGCATAATGGGTGGCAAACACCAACTGCCGGTGTTCACCAAGTTCGACAACCCGGCCTCCTTTGAGCCCTACCCCACCCGACAACTCACTTACAACTTCTTACTGCCATTGAATGCATTATTGCTGTTATTTCCATACAATCTGTGCTGCGATTGGACCATGAGATCCATTGGTCTGATCCATGACATCGACGACCCCAGAAATGTGTGGACTCTTGTATTCTATGCAACACTTATAGCGCTAGTCATCAGATCTCTTGTCGATCTGTTTCGCTACCGAAGCAATCGATTACTTATAATATTGTCGTTAATAGTCTTTCCATTCATTCCGGCGTCTAATCTCTTCTTTCCGGTCGGGTTTGTGATCGCCGAACGAACTCTTTATATCCCGAGCACCGGCTTCTCACTACTGGTGGCCATCGGTTGGACTGCAATTGAGAATCGCTTCCCAAACAGACCTAAACTCAAAGAGTGTCTTCTAATTATGTTTTGTGTGACAATCGGTTTGTTTTGTCTGAAGACTCAGATTAGGAATAATGACTGGAAGGACGAGTTGTCACTATTCTCGTCGGCCATTAAAGTAAATCCAAATAACGCCAAACTGTACAATAATGTGGGCCACCATTACGAGCGCCACAAAGAGTTTGACAGAGCGTTGCAGTACTTCCAGAAGGCGTCTGAACTGCAGAGCGACGACTTGGGCTCTCATATCAATATCGCACGAACTCTCATCAATTTGGGCCAACACTCCAAAGCCGAGCAAATGCTTTGGAAACTTAAGCCTAAAGTGAAACTCTCGGCCATTAATAACCGAATTATTCCCAATTACCTCAATCTGTGGATCAATTTGGCGAACATTATCGTCAAGAATGAGACGAGACTTCCGGAGGCGGAAAATGTAAGCAATGAATCACTTTATTGTTTAGACAATTATTTTAATATTTGGTTTCATTTGGGTAGTTATACAAAGAGCTGATAGGCATGCGTTCGGACTTCGTTGAGGCCTATATTAATTTGGGAGACATTCTCATCCGTCAGTCCAAACTGACCGAAGCGGTCGATATCTACCGCAGAGGCCTGTCATTGGCACAAATCGACAGGAGAGCCGACCTGTACTTCAATTTAGGTGTCGTTCACTCAATGCTTCTGAGGGCCTCGAGTCCCGTGAACGACAA